ACAAGTTGGTCTGCGTAAATGTGTGTGTTTGGGTAAATGTCTGTGTGCGTGTATGTGTTTATGTGCATATCGGAGTCCATGTATATATGTATATATATATATATATATATAATATATATATATATATATATATATGTTCGTGCATGTGTTTACGTATAAGTTTGTGTGTGTTGTAACCAACAATTATTATTATTATTATATTTATTCCTATTTAATCTACAATGTAGTTATTATTATTATTTACAATTATTATTTATTTATTAGTTCATTTATGATTATTATCAGTGAATATTATTCATTATTATTATTTATTATTATTATAGTTATAATTATTTTATTATTCAAAGTTACAAAACCATGATGCAATACCACCACGGCGCTAGTTGTTCTGCAGTTGATGGCGCCACTGCTACTACTGACGCTACGGAATCGTCAAAACATAGTGATTATCGTTTATTAAGTTTATTATTGAAGACTCTGTGAAATGGTTTTACAGGCTATCTTATCTCTTATCTCATTGGGGAACAGTTCTGTTGTCTTACAAAGAGATGAGTATGAATTTAAATAAGTTAAGTGAGTGGAGAAGTTTATTTGGTTGTTGGTCGTCCATACGTAATTAAAATATGTTATCTATTTTTTCTGCAAGGCAGTGTCGGATGATTAATATATTTTTTTTAAAGAATTTGTTTAAAATAATCATGGTGTAATTAATTATAATTACGTATAATCACATCCTGACATCTATGCCAATCCTTTCATTCAATTTTAAAATCTATATCTGATATGGTTTAGTTAAAAAAAAAAGAAATATGAAATTATTATAATGTGTTATTTATGCTTCACCATTATCATACTGTAGAGAAACACCCCATTATTATTATTATTATTATTAGTAGTAGTAGTAGTAATAGTAGTAGTAGCAGTAGTAGTAGTAGTAGCAGCAGCAGCAGCAGTAGTAGTAGCCGTAGTAGTAGCCGTATATTATAATGTCTTTTTATGGCAAGTGACTGAGCCGCTTTATAACTGTTATGTATTTTTAATTTAAATACTAAATGTGACAACATTACTATCAGCAGCAAAGCGAGAGTTTTAACCGTTAGTAATTTTGTTCGGTACTAAGAGTATATATATAGTAACCCTAGTAATTGTTGTAGGGGTACTGTCATTTCTAATTATAGCAGTAAACATATACACATATATACCAATATATACTTATTATATATATATATATATATATGTATACATATAAATATATATATATATATTTATAATAACCACCATGTCGAATTTAGTAACCTTTCAGTTTCATAACAATAAAGAATGGAATGACGTAATTAGGTTGATGAGGATTTTGATTGTGAAAAAATCAAGACAATGATAATAACCTGATATATATATATATATATATATATATAAGTCATATATATATATATAGACACAATACACAATCATACATACATATATATGTATTATATATGTTCATAAATGCATAACTATATATATATATAATATATATATATAAATAAATAATATATATAGATTATTCATATGAATTCATATTCATAAAGAGCTAATAACATGAACAAAGTATTCATATAAATATTTATATATGCGTTGAAGTATTAAAAAGTTTATTTATAATAATTAACTCAGCTCAAAAACTAGTGGAATAGAACTCACTAGCAAGGAGGTTGATGACATTTCGAAGTTGTTTCAACTTTGAATGAAAAGTAGAATTTTTTTCTATTGCTTTTTCAATTATTAAAACAATTGGGTATTTGCCCTGAATGTTTCAAATACTTTACCTATGTTTGAATAAAGTTATAAGTATGAACAATTTGTATTTACATGTACATAAGAACAAAAACCTTCTGTTATCTAACATATATTCGTTTACTTTCATATACCATTATTAATTAATGTGTTTACACATTATATGTTCTTGTGTGTGTGTGGTTGTTATTCAAATTGGAAGTTCATTGTCCGTTAAAGTCTTATTCCTTTTGGCAACATACATTTATTTCTAATTTTGTTCTTTATTATCCAGACGATACGATTCGACTCTTCTTTTACCAAAGAACATTATTTTTGCAAGTTTCGATAGATTTCAGCTTTTCCGATACCCTGATTCAAATTTACATATGTCTGCAACCAGGTTGTGATCTCTATCTTGAACACTGCCATGGTACTCTCTTGATGTAGACCATTTCCTATTTTTTAAAATAAAGCCATCTCCTATTTAAGCCAGGTTTATATTTTAAAAATGGCTCTATTATAGTTTTTTTTAAAATGGTAATCTATCTATCTATCTATTAATTTATTTATCAAAATAAAATAGGAAAAAATAGGAACATATTGGGCAAATTTGCTGTATTTTGACGGTCGGAACTGCTAAGAGCTGCACTAATGAAGAATGGAAAGGAAAAAAGAAAAGTTAAAAGATCTGTGAAAAAAAGAATGACATTACAGATTAGACTGGTTTGGATGGTTAAAAATGGAGCATTCATTAAAATCGGTCAAAAATAAAAAAGATTATGAAAATAGACAAATGTACAAATATATAGATGTAATTGGTTTTGACGGTTTTTCGAAGGATTCAAAGAAAACATTCACTGGTTGATGACTGCTGTGTAAATGTTCAATATTATCTGTTGTTTTTTTTCGCTTTAATGTTGTAGGCTATAAAATGTCATTTTATTTTCGGTCATTTACTCCAACAGCTGTACACTTCATTTTATTGAAGATGAAGATGATTTTTCACAAATCATCTTCAGGTTTGGGTGCAGGTTTGGCTTAAATAGTTTCTAGAAACTTTTAATGATTTGTGGAAAATCAAAATAAGCCTTTCTACATGATGAATTTGGATAACAACAGTTTTATTAAATTTTCATGATGAACTTTTTTCTATTGAGCAATTTCCAGAAAACTTTAGTAAGGAAAATTGAAAAGACAAACCTTAAATTGATTAATGCCAACAATTTGGTAGAATTCATACAATACTGTATAAAATATGGTCTCCTTCCAATATATACATAAATACATATATATATATATATTATATATATATTATATATATTATATATATTATTATTTTTTTTTTTTTATTATTATTGAAACATTTATGAAGCGCTAATTAAACGAATCTCAAAAGCACTATCTAACAAAAACTGAACTTAACAACATAATTGAAATAACAAACGAGAAATCATAATACATCGCACAGAAATAAGATTAAAATTTGGTCATAAACAGAAAAGTAATCGATTCAATATAACGAAAATACGAAATAATATTTGGAACATGTCGACTAAACAGAAAGAATTGATCAATAATGCATTACAATGAAAATAAATGAGTTTTCAGTTTCTTTTTAAAATCACGCAGGTTTAGGTCCGGATTTCTGAGAGCAGCAGGCAGGTTGTTCCAAACAGTTGGTCCAGAAACAGCAATGTTACGAGAACCTATACGGAGACTCGTTGTTGGGATCAACAGCAGGTTTGAAACATCAGACCTCAAGTGTGTTCCAGATGCTTTTGAAGATCTCTTTTTAACCTGTCAGACAAATAAGATGGAGCTAGACCTTTGATAGACTTGTAGACAAGTGTTGAAATTTTGAACAACACTCTTTTGTCGACGTTAGCCAATAAAGTTCAGTCAATATTGGAGACACATGATCGTATTTTAGAGCTCCAACAACAACTTTTGCGGCTAGATTATGTATTGATTGAAGTACAGCCATGGATCGATCAGGTAGTCATGAAACAAACTGTTGCAATAGTCGACGCGTGAGTGCACAAATGCATGAACCAACGTCTGCAACGTGGATGTATCTAGGGATCGTCGAATTTGATTGATTTTCCTGATTTGAAACATGCATTCGGCTGAGAGCTTCTTAATGTGTTGTTTCATTGACAAACCTGAATCAATCATGAAGCCCAGATTAGCTGCTGTCTGACAAAATGGGATGACCTCATCATTAACAGTTATAATATATAACTGTTATGTGTTATGTTATAATACATTTATATATATACATATATATATATATATATATATATATATATATATATATATATATATATATTATAACATCAACATACATTAGGCGTTCTAGCGAGGATTTATGAGCTAATCACTCACACAACACATCCACGCACGCACACACCTGCTGACACGCACACAACACACACACGTAAACACACTAACACACGTACGCCAGCACACAAGTACACCAGCCACCAGGTCACACGCACGTCAACACACACGTACACACACACACGCCACTACACGCACGTGTTTAGCAAGAAGTGTGCGTGATTAAACTGCCTACAAATACGCATGCTGGTTTCTCGTGAGACAACAGTTTCTTCTATTTCAAATAGCTTTGGAGCGCGAGATCTTTTATTACTTCAAGTTTGTTAGTTTTTTTAAACTTTATTTATTAACAATTTTGATTTTAATCAATCTTTTTATTTCAATTTGGTTCACGCTTTTTATTTTTAGTATTAGAAATTATAGAAATCATTTAATAATATTTTGAATTTTGATTTTGTACAATTTTTTTCACAAAAGTTCTTAATATGGTCATTAATATTTACCGATGACAATTCTTAAAAACAACTTGCTATTTTATTTAATTCATAGAACGGTTTACCTATGTATTGACTGTGATTGATAATTAACTTGATTGAAAATTTAGTTTCAACGCTAACAAACTGATTTCGCGACAAAACGATGGGAAAATTTTGAATTTTCAATAAGTTAGCCATCATTCAATAAGCTTTTTGAAATTAATTGACGAAAATTTGAAATTTCAAAATATGAGAGGAGATTTATCCATGATTCGGTAGCCAGCACAAGATCGTTGACAATAGAAACACAAACAAAATTTTAAAATAAGTTGTTCAATGTTAATGTTCAGCAACATAAAAATGAATTGATCAGTACTAAATGTTATAAACAATTACTCGTCAAGATGATAAATTGTTTTATTATAAGTTATGGACATAAAGGTGAGGACAATGGAGTAAACCCTTGGGTGGGTAAACTCTTGAAAATATTTTCGGATGAACAACGGATAGGGAACATTTGGGTAGAGAATTTTTATGAGAGAAAAAATCTCGATAATATGAGAACTGGCTGTATTAACATTAACATTGGAAAATAGCTACCATTCACTTATTTACCACTAAAAGGATTAGGTGGAGATAGTTTATGTTGGGGTATCAGTTAAATATGTCAAATATTATCACACATGGCAATGACGCCTGGCTGTGACGTATTTTTATTTATAAGATTTTATATTTTTGTGTTGTTTTCATGGTTGAAACAGTATTTTCCCAAGTAAAATAACAAGGTTTTTCAGTATAAATCTATCATGCCAGTCAATGTTTCGACATTTTTTCAGAAGTTAATGAATTTTTTTAAAAGAGCGAATATCCGAATGTTGGAAAATTTTTAAAAACGCATGTACAACGGCGTGTTTTTCATTAATTTAACTATTTTGAAAACTTTTTTGTCACTTTATAAAAAAAACTACAGTGATAACTGATAACATTTTTTTATTCTGTCGCAAATTAGGATGTAACACCTTATATATATTCAGACAAAGGCAAAAATTCTATACGTCTTTGTCATTTTATTTTTTTATTATTGTTGTTTAATATTTTTAAATGGTTGTTCAAATATTGTAAAAAAAAATACTTTAAAAAAATTATAAAAAAAAGTATTATTTATTTTTTTTTAAACTGAAGCAATTGCTGTTTTTCTAATTATGAACTTTTTATTTCAGTTAAACTTTAAAAAAATTGGATAGTTGAAAGTTTAGTTTTTTTTCAGTTGAACATTGAAATTTGTTTGCAACTGTTGGTAAATAATAATGCTTGATATGCTTTTTAATGATGTTTAATCGCAAAAATAAAATTTAATCACCTTTATTTTTATTTAAATTTTTCCTTTACATAAATATCACGTATTTAAAATATCTAATAGATGAAAAATTGTACTGTTGTAGTATAATATCTAATGTAGTATGGATAGTTATTTTAAAAATTTTCAAATAATTTAATTTATTGAAAATTATTTTAGTTTAAATTAATTTAATGAACATTATTGTGCAAAGTTTTATTTTTGTAACAATGTTTGCTATTTAAGTAGTTAAATCGTATAATATCAACGCGCTACTTCTTCCATTAATCAAATGTGTTGTTCGTCCTTACGCTTTCTGTTTTTCTAAAATATATTTCTGCTGACTGTTTCTCTCAAGTTATTTATTAGTTATTTTCAATCCTTCCCTGCGGAAAAACTTTATGCTAGACTATGCAGACAGCTAGGAAAGGAATAAGCGGATATTTTTTCTCGCACCCTGACTACGAATTTGTCTTTGTTCAAAATTTGATAGATAGCCAGCATCAAATATCAGATATTTGACACGTATATTATAAATAAAATTTTATTACACACAATTTTTTTTTCAGAAAACTAAAAACTTTTTGTCGGAAGATAATGAGTACGATTCTATCACAAAACGTGGTCAGGACCACGCCAGCGGCCACATCGGCTCACAGTTTGCAGTCGCAGATCATATCGCTACTGCAGATGAAAATTTCAGACGACCAGAGCATCTTGACGACACCGTCGTCCTCGCCATCAACTTTATCTTCGCTGTCGTCGTCGTCGGAACATTTGCAGGAGTGTGCACTCATCAAGTTGCAGCGATCCGTTGACGGACCGCCCAAGCAATTTATCTTCCAAGACGAACAAGGTGAGCTACTGAAATGTGATTTTGGGAGAAATTAACGGATCGGTTTGTGGTTTTTCAAATAAATAACTCAGTTAATGTGGTGCATTATCATTCATACAAGTGAACGTGGATTCAGTTAAAATTAAGTTTAATTTTTTTTATATACATTTATAGTTTGTAGCGGAAGTTCAATTTTTATTAAAAAAATTTCAAACAAAAGTTTAATTTATAACTTTAGCGTCATTTGTCAACAAATCACCAAGACGTTCACACACATTCACCACAAACAAAATAGGAGATTATTACTTAGACGGTGGGTTGGAGACCTGGATGAATATTGACAAATTTGGCATCTTCCAAATTCTTCACAAAAGTTTGACCACACACCCGAATGCTATCGTTTTGGTCGGTACTGCTCCTACATCGACTTCTACCTTTTAATCTTTTTGTTGTTGTACCACTTCCAGCCTTCAAATTTTTATAACTTTTTGCTCGTTTTTGTTTTTCAATATTTTTTTCTTTTTATTTTTTTTGTCTCAAAAATTTTTTAGTCTGGTAGAATTTTTAAACTTTAAAAATTTGCAATGCTTGACTGTTTCTTTTTTGTTTTCAATTTCTGTCTCCTATAAAAATTTGATAAGTAAGTGTATTGATATAAATAACTTTTATATGTCATTTACGAAAGGGCAATGATATTATTTCATCGCAAACTACATAAATACACCACATCCACACACCATATCCACACACACACACACACACACACACACACACACACATACACATACACACACACTAACACAAACATACACTCATACAGACAGAAACACTTTTTTATTATTTCCACCGATCATTCATTCATTTAATTAATAATTCATCCATTCATTCAACCACGCAGAACGATGTTCTGAAAAACAGGCAGATAATAGGCAGAGACTTCCTCTCCCAAGTTGAGAACATCAGCTCTTACCTGATGACGATCGCAAAAAATATAAGTGATGATGGCGACTACCACACTAATGACATTAACGATGACGGCTATATTGACAACATTGGCGTTTGTGGTAGTGGCAGTGGCGTTGGTGATGGTTGTGGTAAGGGTAGAAATGACGATCTGAAGAAAGGTGATGTGGTCGCGTTCTTCACCACATCCTCTATTGAGACCATCGTTTTCTACGTCGCTTGCTTGAAGGTCGGCCTTGTGACGGCCGTCACCAACATTCAACATACCATACGTAAGTTACTGCTGGTTATTCTTTCGTCAGAATAATGTTGCTTGTTTGTTTATTATATCATAATAATAAACTATAAATTGTAATAAATTATTATTATTTAAAATAGTATTAAAATAATTATAAACACCGACAGCTGAATTGAGTGAGCAGCTTCAAATATGCGCAGCTGATGCTATCTTCACAGACCTGGAAAATGTTGAAGTTGCCACAAAAGCTGCCAGCAGTTGCTCGACAATTAAGGTGAGTCTTTTTCTGTTTAATACTGGTGTGTGTGCTTGTGTTTGTGTGTCTGTGCTTGTGTGTGTTTGTGTTATTGTGTGTGTGTGTTTGTGTTCTTGTGTGTGTGTGTGTGAATGCCCGTGAGTACATTTATTTGATTAAGCACAGGTAGCTGTAATTAATTACGTGCAATTTAAAGTTATTTAAAATTGAACAACAAATAAAAAATCACGTTACATACAACCTGTTTCAAATGGTTAACAGAAATGACAAATTGCGAGCAAGATTGATGTAATCAATCTTGTAATAAATCATTTTATTTATTTTGTTCAAGTACTGCCACTTATATTCTTGTTCATTTTTTTTTATTTCAGTGCATTCATTATTGTCAAAATGCGTTTCACACATTATTTTATTTAAGCTTCTTCTGTTACAAAAATCACTGAAGAGAAACACACACACACCACACACGCACACTCACACACACACATACACACACACAGGCGCATCACTTGAAGGTTTGATTGAAGCGTACAAGCCAACAGAGCAACATATCACACAACGAAATCGGTCCCACCTTTAAATGTGGTTGCGTTCGAACCAGATGGGCTGCAGTTGCTCGTCGTTAAAGCGGCAAATAAATCGTAAAAAAAAAAAATCCGGGCTTAAACCGCAACGATTATTTATTGAGATATATAAGTCTTTAGTGATTTTAAATCATTTATAGACAATTATAATCGTACAAAATTATCTAATTAATTTAAAAGGTCAAAAGTTACACACGCGCGCACAACGACACATAAATAAATGATGAAATGTAGTAGACAAATTGAAGCATATAAATTTGTTTCCTTATTTTAGTTAGAAAAACAAAGTTGGAATGTCCAAAAAATATCAGAACATGATGGTTTAATTTGAGTGTTGCTGTTTTGTTGTGAGGCCGTTCACATTTCTTCAAATGTTTTCGAGATGTCGTTGCATGCGGTCTGGGTTTTAATTGTTTAATCGTCTTTTTTAAAGTTAAATAATTTTCGTATTTGAATAATTTTTAATTTTATATGAAATGTGGCCAGTACTTTGTTGAAATGTAGTTAAAGTGTTCCTTAATTGTTGCAAAATCATCATTTCCATCTAACTTGCCCATCCGTCCATCAAATTTTTTAAATAAATTTTTAACTTTGTTGGCTGCTAAATTATCTTTCTTATTTTTTAACCTCTCATTTTCATCATTCATTTCAAACGTGTTATAATGAATTTACGAGTGTATGTCTGTATTGTATGTATATGTGTATATGTATGTATGTGTGTGTGTGTGCATGTATGTGTATGTGTGTATGTATGCATGTGGTTGTATGTTTTAAAATGTCGTATGTATCAGTTAATGAGAATGTGTCTTCTATTTGTTGTCACGTTCGAACTTTTTTCTGTATGTCCGTACGGTTCATGTGCTGTTTTCAGTATATATTTTTTTCTCCAAATATGTGTGCATGCATAATTGCATATAAATGTGCGATTTTGTATGTACGTGTTGTCCTTGTGAATGTGAGTGAATGCGTAAGTTTTTATTTATACTTGCGTAAACGTATGTGTGTGAACGTGTGCGGTTGTGGTTATATGCTTCCATTTGTGTGTGTGTGTATGCGTGTGCGTAGTGTGTGTGTGTTGATATGATGTGTGTGTGAGTGTGTGTGTGCGTGTGTGCGTGCATATAGGAGTGTGTATATGTGCGTGGATCTGTTAACGTAGATATGTTTGTGTGTATGTGATGTACGGATGTGTTTGCGTTTAATTCGTCTGTTTAACGTTTTTGCACTAATGAATGAAGTCTTCAAAATCGACCAAGCACCATTTCTCTCTCTCTCTCTTTCTCTCTCTTTCTCTTTCTCTCTCTCTCTCTCTCTCTCTCTCTCTCTCTTTCTGCATTCCACTCTCTTCCTTTCTTCTTTCCCCTTTCTTGCTCTCTTGTTACCTTTCATTTTTTAAACTTTTCAAAAAATAACGTCAAACAATATCTCATTATTCTCGTCGTATCAGCCATTTCCATCAAAGAATCGTCATAATCATCGTTGTTTTTTTCCTTAGTTGAATGATCTGACAGTGATTTAAGAAAATGACATTACGCTTAACAATAGCAGGCAGTTTTTTATTTGATGGTGGCAGCGGTTGTAGCAGTAGTACTGGCAACTTTAACAGCAGCTGTGGTTAATACAGCTATTCTGCCAGCATTAGTATTAATTTTAGTATTAGCAACAGTAGAAAGTAAAGTTTAGGCTGTACTATTATAGTTTAACCAAAGTATTATTTTAGAGCATTGTATGAATTGATTGATTAATTAATTGATTAATTAGTAGAAAGAATAGTAATAAACGCTGATGATTAACTATTTTTCGTGAAAGCCAAAACTTAAACAGGTAAACTAAACATGAAAGGCAATGAAAAATAATACTTTTGTGTACTGCAAGCTGAAATAGTAGATCCCTTGCACAAAGGTACACACACACCACACCCCACTAACACATACACTCTCTCTCTCTCTCTCTCTCTCTCTCTCTCTCTCTCTCTCTCTCTCTCTCTCTTATACACACACACATCAAATATACACGCACACAAACTCTTTCTCTCTCTCTCTCTCACACACACACACACGCACGCATTTTGGATATTAGCATAAAATATGTTTAATGTATGTGTTTGTCAAAATACTCACACACACACACACACGCAGGCAGGCAGGCAGGTATGTAGGTAGGTAGGTAGGTAGGTAGGTAGGTAGGTAGGTAGGTAGGTAGGTAGGTAGGTAGGTAGGTAGGTAGGTAGGTAGGTAGGCAAGTAGGCAAGCAGGCAGGCAGGTAGAAATCGAGAGAGAAAGAGAGAGAAAAAAAAGAAAGAGAAAAAGAGAGAGAAAGAAAAAAAGAGAGATAGAGAGAGATCAGAATCATGTTAAAAAATGATCATGTTAATTATCTATCAAACGTTAAACATTGAGTTAATTTGTTAATTAACTCTGAGGGCGGTGATGATGGTGATATGATGATTAATTTTGCTAATTCTTAAAAGACCGCTATACTCAAACAATGTGTATGTACTTTGTATGTGTATGTACTTTGTATGTGTAGGTACCATGTATGTGTATGTGCATGTGTAAGTACTTTGTATGTGTGTGTGCGTATGCGTGTTTTGTACACTTTTGTATATCATGAGTTAATAACGTTGATGATGAGTACGATGATGATGACAATGATGATGACGATGATGATGACGATTCGGACATTATTGGCTGTGATGATGATAATGACAAAAAGTAATGAAGATGATGAAAAAAGAAAGCAATTACTACCCTGACTATGAGGAATATAGCGATGATCGTGATGAAATGAGTACAAATTGTGATGATGTATTTGACGACGACGAAGATGATGATGATGACGACGACGATGGTGATGGTGATGAGGCGAATATAGGTCATGAGCAAACACATCCGATTATTGAAACATTATTGAAATAGTAAGAATTGTTTTCTGAAGGTGTGTGTCTGCACTTGAATGTGTGTGTGTTTGTGTGTTTGTGTGTGTGTGTGTGTATGTGTTTGTGTGTGTGTGCGCGCTTGCGTTTTGGTATGCATGTAAACATAACTATTTATGCTCTTTCAAAATAGATCGAATCGTGTCAAACCTGTGTAAAATAAAATTACAATTGAAAACAAGCGCGAACAAAGAATCAACATTCCTACACTTAGAGCTAAACACGCACACATACCTTCATTCTTTATTTTTTCATTCTCATTAAATAATGATATAATCTTTTCTGAACATCGAGCACAAATATTTTTTCACTAATCATTCATAAAACAAACACACAAACAAACACACACACACACAAACAAACACTCACACACACACACAGGCACACGTATAAACACACACACGCATTAAATCAAACTTGCAGTCAGAGCCACTGACAGTCAATCAGTAAGATACATCGAAACCAGCCACAAACACATATTGAATCATTTAGAAACACACAACAAAAATGCCTAAACACACAAAGCAACGCAGCACATTAACATTAAAAACGCACGCACACACACACACAAACACATACACTTACACAAACAAACACACGCAAACACGGTATCACAGTACAAACAGCAATGCTAAAAACAAACACAGGTATAGATCAGGGTTAAGAATTAATTATGACACACATCCTCCGAAAACCCACACACTTGAAACAAGTGCAAACAATCTTACTACATACAAACGTACAACGTACAAAACAGCACAGCAAACAAAACCATACAACATACAAAACAATACAACATACAAAACAACATTCAAAATAATACAACACATAAATCAATGCAACATGCAAAACAACACAACACGCAAAGCAATACAACATATAAAACAATACAACATACAAAAAAATACAACATACAAAACAATACGACATACAAAACAATACAACATACAAGACATACAAAAGTTTGCCGGTCGCCTGCAGTTCAAATTGCTTGCTCATTGTTCCTTCCGTAAAATTTTTGTTGACCAGAAAACGCTATCTAACAAATAAATAAATATTATTTAAAGCTCGAATTTTATTGCTGATTAAAATTAATTAATGCATTTTTTTATGACTGACCTGTGTTTTCATATTTCTGTCTTTCTCTCTTTCTTTCCTCCTTTTTAAAGATTTTATTCTTTCTCTCTTTGCTCCAATTTTATTCTACCATCTTTAATTTTTACTTACAATTAACTTACATACTCGACCTATCAAACAACTGACATCCCATTCCCTAGAAAATATTCCTGAAGGACGGATCGTATCCTGGTTGCGTCAATGTCGAACACTTTTTTTATTCCGAAACGTCAACGCTAACATTAATGACGTCAGATTCATCATCATCAGCATCACCACTGCCGCTATCATTCTTTCCGCCATCATCATCGCCGTCGTCGTCCTCATCTGAAGAAGCACTCGATGCTTATGAAATATTTACTGACATTGCCAACAGTCTGAACAACGAGATTATCTTCAACAACATCAACAACAGAATCAATTGTAACAGGAACAACAACATTTCTTACAACAACACCAACGACAACATCACTAGCAGCAGCAGCAGCAACTCACCATCCATTCTTCTAACGAATGAAACGCCATACAATGCCGACGATGTTGCAATGATCGTGTTCTCAAGTGGTACGACAGGCAAGCAGAAGGCAGTTCTCCTATCGCACAGAAATCTCATGGCCCAGTTCATTGTCACGATGTCTGTTTTTTTGCTTCTTTCCATTTTGTTTCATTTTTTGTGTGTGTCTTTCTTGCCCTTACTGTTTCCAGCTGTATAAACTGTTTAGTAAGCAATTTTGGTGATTTTCATTTCATCGTGATGGCTTCTTGTAAGCCCAGCAAAGTTGGTTCCGTTCTGTATGGCAGTTTGAAAGCACTGCTTTGCAAAATGATTTTACAATTTGCTGACTACCTAAAAACAATTAAGTGTTTAAATTATTAGTATAATTACTATGAAATTATATTAATAATTATCACTCAATTGTGAATTGCACATAGATACAAATTATTATTCTTAGATAAGGGTGAATGTTCGGACTATTTGTATTCTAACCAACCATGTCAACCAAAAAATTTATTCAGTGTTTTATTTGTATTTATTCACATTTTAAAATTTGAATTGAGGGTATTGAACTTTTTAACTGCTCATCTGTTACCAATCATCATTGCCTGGCAGAGTTTATTTTTAAAATTATTCCGTCATTAGTAATGTTTATTATGCTTTCAGTAAAAGCTTTCATTATTATATAAAGAAAGTGCCACATGTGAGAATGCTCTCAAAAACAATGAGGTATAATGAGATGTAAGGTGTGAATATTTGTAAATGTTTACAGAGGGAAGACCGTTCGAAAGCTGCAGAACAATCAAGTAATTTTCGCCCCATTCGCTCACTTGACCGGGTCAGTGATGCCCCTTATTTGAATTAACCTTGGAATGTGCACCCACCTACTCAGCAAATATGATCTGAATATTTATCTTGGCATTCTCTCTCATTACAAGGTTTGTGTCGATTCGTCAACATCCGTTTTTGTTTGTAACATTTGAATTTTATACTGTGCTGTAACTTTAATTCAGCTAACTTTCAAAATCATCTTCAACTCATGATAGAGTTTTGAATTTTCAGTTGCCACTTAACTTTAATAAACAATACAACATCATCTCTTTGAAGGTATCAACGATTTCAACGTTGCCATTCATCGCGAATAAGATTGCCAAATCTGCATTGTTGGACAGCTACGATATGTCCGGCTTGAAGGAAATAGTCTGTGGAACTGCACCACTCTCCCCTGACATTGCCGCACTGTTGGTCAGTCGTCTGCCCAATGTTCAAGTTCGCCAAGGTTACTTGTACACACATTCATTTTTTATTTATCCAGATATTTATGTTGATACATTTTTTTTCATTTGGCATACACTGTCACACACTTCCACACACTTCCACACACTCCCACACACTCCCACACACTCCCTCACACTCCCACACAGCATACGGACTGACAGAATGCAGTGGCATGTGCAGTATCGTTCCAGGAGACCTCTGCAATGGAATACTTCCGACATCAGTTGCAGCAGCAGTTGGAGATGACGACGATGATGACGTTCATGTTGATTTCAATGGCAACCACATCTTCAACAACAATAACAACAACAACAATAACCACATTTCTGACGAACATAATGACATCAACATAAACAACACCAGCAGTGGAGTTAATGTTGCCAGTGCCAACAACAGCAATCTCATTAACAACAAGAACGACGGCTTAAGCAAAAACAACAACACTGATAACGTTAACACAAGTCAGAAAGACAACAACACCAGCAACAACAGTCCTAACAACAACAAAATCAAAATCAAAGAGTTGTACGGCGAACTGGAAGACATAAATAAGTCCGTCTATTCCACAGAACTGAAAACAGTTAAAGATAAAACTGCTTCTATTGGCACACCATTACCTGGCGTTAAGATGAAGGTGAGCTCTTTCACATCAAAATAATATTACTCAATATAATTATCCTCATCAACATCTCATCACCTTAATCGTCGTCATCATCATCATCAACATCTCATCACCTCCTCCTCCTCATCATCATCATCCTTATCTTCTTCTTCTTCTTCTTCTTCTTCATTATCATAATCATTATCACCATCATTATCGAGGTTTTAATAAGATGTTTGTTCACTCCAGGGTAACACAATTTCACACCGTATGTTTTAAAAGATTGAAAGTTAACATAATGAAAGTAGATGAGTGAAAAATGAGAAAAGCTGTTACGTCATCACCATCGATCCATCGTCGTCATCATCATCATCTTTTTATTGTCATCATCATTTTCATCACCCTCTTTATTATTAATCTCGTCATCACCATTCCCCATCATCATCTTTATTCGAATTACCAGATTCTCTGTGTAAACACGGAAAAAGTCCTGGGACCTCTGCAGCCGGGCGAGTTGTTGGTGAAATGTTCCATGGTGATGGCTGGATACAGGAACGCTATGATCCCACCGGAGCAAGTCCCACGGGCCATCGACGAGAATGGATGGCTGCACTCTGGTCAGTAAGATTTAAGTGTAGGTTTTACTGTGTTCCAGAGTTTTTCGCAATACTAATTTGGAAATTTATTGAATGAATTAAAAAAAATTTGAAAATGTTCTTTGCCGTAAAATTAAAAACATTATTTACTAAACTAATAATCAAATGCTAAATGTGATGTATGTTTTTTTTACATGCGCAAACCACGAAAAACAATAATAGACATATACGTATGTATGTCACACACCGACACACCTACACACACAAACATACACGCACACATATACACACACACCTACACAAATACACACACAAATATACAAACCCGCATACACATACACAAACACACACACCTACACAAACACATACATGGACATGCACACACATCTGCACAAACACAAACAAACACACGCGCATATACTCACACACACATACACACACACACACAGGCGATCTCGCTTATTTTGACGAGGATGGCTACCTTTACATAATTGACAGGTTGAAGGATTTCATAAAGTTCCGCTCAATCCAGGTAGCTCTAATAGCTCTAATAACATAACCTAATATGTTATTTAGTCTGCTGTAGGTGTTGTTATTTCAATTTAGTGCCAACTTTTATCACACATCACCTCATCGTATTAATCTTATCGTGTTGCATCTGAACTGTAGCGAACGTTTGTCTCATCTTATTAACGTTTTTGGCATTTTTAATCAATTTTATCATCTTTATCACCATCTTCACCTTCATTATTTGCATCATTTTTTTCGTTTTCATCCTTGCATAATACGTCACCATCTTCGTCATCGTGTTCATCATCATTTTCATCGTCACCAAGGTATCTCCAGTAGAGATAGAGTCAGTACTGATGAGTCATCATGACGTCATCGACGCTGGCGTCTTCAGCGTCCCTCACCCAGACGACGGCTTTCATCCAGCCGCCTGGGCCGTGGTCAGGCCTGGGTCAAAGGTCACTGGCGAACAACTACAACAATATGTAGCTGGTTGGTGTGTTTTTTTGTAAACCAATCATCATTAAAGGTTTATATTTCTCTTTTGCGTTTGCTTCAGAGGTTTCAACGACAAACACACACAGCGTATATGAATACGCGTGCAAACCACGCATCATACACATTGCATATGATAGGCGGGGAAATTTTTGTATTCGAACCCAGTCATAGCAATAGCAAGATCAGGCGCCTTTAACCATTGAGCCATCACGCCGCCCATTAATTTGTTAGGCGTGAACTTTCTGCTTCAATAAACACACCCAGCTAAAGAATTCTACCTACAAAACTTTTTAAATGTATTATTTCACTTTAAAATGAAAATCCAGAAAAAACCGTTCAATTAAGTTTAAAAAACTTTAAACTCGTCTTTAAATTATTACCATAATAATATAAATAATGATGATGATAATAATAAAAATAAAGGTAGTAATTATTATCATCAGTATTATTATTATAAATATTGATATAATTTTATTATTCCATTTTATTTCGACAGAGCGTGTGGCATGTTACAAGGAGTTGAAGGGAGGAGTGGATATTGTGGAGAAGATCCTGAGGTCCCAGACAGGAAAGATTCTGAGGAGGTCCATGTACAAGATAAATAAGTGATGGCGATGATGACGACGACGATGATGATGATTAAAAATTGATGCTGATGCAGATAATGGTGATAACGATGATGATAGTTATACAAATTATTACGCTACCTACATGCAAATGGTGGTGATGACGATAGCGAGTGATTACTTAAGTTAATTAAATAGATAAAAGTGTGAGCGAATGGAAACACAAAGTGTCGGAGAAGAAATTCCCAAATTTCGGAATCAATAATTGAATAAGAAACATATCAAATGGGAATAAATGGATACAATTGGATGGATGGATGGATGGATGGATGGATGGATGGATAGATGGATGGATGGATGGATGGATGGATGGATGGATGGATGGATGGATGGATAGATGGATGGATGGATGGATGGATGGATGGATAGATGGATGGATGGATGGATGGATGGATGAATGGATGGATGAATGGATGGATGTATGAATACGTGAATCGGTAGAAAATGAATAACTCTTATGATGATAATGATAAGAACGACGACGATGATGATTAGTACGATGAGTTAGAAACAAATGTACGATAATAATGATAAAATATCATCATTAGAAAGTGATTATACACCTAACTAACCTAATTTATGAGGAGAATTGTATGCAACTGTTTATTTAAACAATCACATGAGGATCAAAAAACTTAAAAAAAAATAGAAAATATTATAAATTGACAGTGTGATTGCTTGAAATGAATTGAAAAATCATTGAAAAAACGTTTTTTCCATTTTTGCTAAATATTTATTTTTAATTTTGCTGCCATGACATTTGGAAACTGACGTTCTACATTACGTTTAATGATGTTGAAAATTATTATTATCACTGACGGCATTTTTTTTTCTCTCTCTCCCTCCCTGTTTTTATATGGCCGTTCTTGTTGACAATTCTCACGTAACTCATTGACGTTTGATGATTGAAGCTCGAAGAAGTATTAAGAAATAGAAGTATGTTTACTACAAAAATGCATCCATGCATTAATGAATGAATGAACGAATGAATGAATGAACGAACGAACGAATGAATGAATGAATAAATGAATGAATGAATGAATGAATGAATGAATGAATGAATGAATGAATGAATGAATGAATTAATTAATTAATGAAGATATTTATAACACCTTAAAAGACAGCAATATACATATATCATCATTTGCTTGTTAACAGTTTTTTAGTGGCCTTTCAGATAGTATTTTTTTTTATAAATGTCTGTATACAATATACATATATCATCATTTGCTTGTTAACAGTTTTTTAGTGGCCTTTCAGATAGTATTTTTTTTTATAAATGTCTGTATTATACACATTTTAAAAAGTAATTCGTACAGAAGTTATTTTTTCAATGTAGTAGTAGAATTTAAATTTTACCCTACCATCCAGTCTTAGCTTAATAATATACTGGAATTCAATAAAACCGATACTATGCTATTATATGCACATGTATTAATTATATATTTATCATTTGTAATCAATTTTTGGCATATTTTCAAAGGTTTAAGACCCTTTAAGATTATTAACAAGAAAATCGGTTTAGAACAAGAGTTGCTTATACGTAAACCCACATTCTAATGATTACTCAATCGCATGCAGTTTTAAATCACATGTCTAACTCGTACTCAAGCCTATGCTTATTTATAGCATTAAAATTTTGCTTGTCGGTTTTAATTACTTGAAAAATCTATAATCAAAAAGTATTATTTAAGGTGTAACTTAACGTGTAACATTTTTTTCATCTTCTAAATTAAAGGTATTAAACTCGCAAGAAACATCTCCTATTTGTGTTTGTCAATTTCTTGTTACATATTCTTGTTCCTACTAACGTATGCTGCCATATAAAAACTTCGAATTTGATTTTGTTTATTTTATTCATTTATTTATTTTATATGTTAGTTTATTTATTTATCTGTATGTATGTATATCGGTAACATCACATCTATATATCAATTTCTCAGTGCTACTGGATACGACAATCGAAATTTTTAAAGTAATTTAAGTTACATAATGATGATGATTGTAATTAATTAGTTAATTAATTAATTAGTTAATTAATTAATTATTGTTTTGTAAAGGGCTGCAGTATAACACCAGCAATGCAAAAAGCAATCTGTAAAAATAATAAACTTTTGCGGTTTTTATATGGAATAATATTAAAACTTTATAGGAAAATAAATAATTTTTATAGAAAAATGTAAATATAAAATGGTATCCCAAAAAAAAGTATTTGCCATATTATTTGTCCCAATTTTGCGTTAAAGTGCGTATAGTTGTCAAACAGGCATAGCTACAAACCTGCCTTCAGTGTAAAATCTATATCGTTCACATCTTGCTATTGATCTGTGTATATCATTTTCATCTTATATAATAACATATATTTTTTTTGTCAACAAACATTTGAATGATTGAGACAAACCTTCTTAGTTTTTACACAATACATCTTAAACATTAACAGTCAACCAATCACCCATAATCATAAAACAGTGACACAGATCACCATACACCAATGCGCTTACTTGTTTCCAAATAGCTTTTAAAGATATATTTGGGTTGACATGCCCGAGTGAATGAGCGTAATTTTTTAGAAATCTATTTCTACATTTGTTTGTTTACATCCATATTCGGTAAATTGAAACTGTATGCGAAAAATTGAAATGTAAAAATTTGTTAACGATTGATGATTTTTGTTATCTATTTTTCTATTGTTAGATGTACTAGTTAAAATGTTAGTGGTCTTGAAAAATCTTATTAAAAATTCAAATTTGGTGTGCAGCTCGTTTATTTTGTCGTTTGTAATTTTTCTTAAACGACACGCGTTGTTGATTCATGCTACTTGTTGCATACCGTTGTTGTTGTTGCTGGTTGGATGTTGTTGCTGCATACTGTTGTTGTTGTTGTTGCTGCTGGTTGGATGTTGTTGCTGCATACCGTTGTTGTTGTTGTTGCTGTTGCTGGTTGGATGTTGTTATTGTAAATGTTGTTGTTGTTGTTGGTTGGTTTTTGCTGTTGTTGTTACTATCTGGCTGGTTGTTGTTGATTTTTTTATCGGTTTTCATTTGTTGTTATTGTTATAAATGACCATGGCATCAATGTCCTTTTTTTTTCTTATTTTTTTTTTTATTTTGTTTTATGAAAATATTTGTCAACTTTCATTCATGGACTTATCAAACGTCTATTACCCCTTTTTTGATGGTGTTTGGATATATTTATATTTTATGTTTTGTACACGCATCCGAAATTAAACACACATACCGACACAATCATTCATACCAACACACACACCCATACACATTCACACAGATATATACGTACAAAAATTAGTCGTGAACTGATTTTAAAAATCTTTTTTTATTAATTTTATATCGATTTAGTTGTTAACGGGGTTTTTCTTTAATAGCAAACCATTTTTAATGAACTTATGGTAAATTTCAGGCTCAATGTATACGCTTATTTACCATGAATTGTTTTAATAAAAAATATCGCGAAATATTTTAACAGTTAAGATAATAATAACAATTTTTATAGTTAATATTAACTATTTAGTATATAGACTATAATTCTTTTAGCCGTGTTATGAAAATTTTTGTTATTTTCCAATTTTGCGAGTGTAAATATTGTTACACATCTCGATGGTAAACATTATTAATGAGGCTTAATTCACAGTTCGTTAACACCTATCGTTTACATCCCTACATGGCATACACTTCTTTTTTTACTTGTTCTTTTTGTTTTCACTGGAGACATTGTGTTCAACACAGTAGATATATTTATACTTTTTAAGCGACATTTGATTGAATCATGCTACAATTAGTAGCCAGGAGACAGAAGTTGGTGACGTTGATTTCATTGTTATTTTTTGCCGTCATAATAATATTTTTTTTTCTTTTTTGTGAAATTATTGTTGGAGCTGATGTTCCAATGGTGGTGTAGCGGTAAAATGCCCGACCACTTCTGTGAAGTAACCGGGCTCGAATACAGAGGAGACAGCCGCAATAAAGTCCATGTCATATACACTTGTAAGATGCCTTGCTTAGCCTTTGAATGTATTACGTTCGTTAAAAATTCAGTCCAGAAAATCCGCACGGAACGCCGCATGAATTTAATTTAAACCATTTTTTGATTGTTATATGATATCATTTCTATGTGTTTGTGTTTAAAAAATGTTATATTTCATTTGGTTTATATCATTATATAAAACTTGGTGTACTTTTGTTGATGTCATTGTATAAAGCTTTGTTTCTTTATGTTGATGTCATTTTATAAACCTTCACGTACTCTTGTTGATGTAATTATATGAAACCTAATGTATCTTCGCTGATGTCATTGAGTTTTATGTTTTACTACCGTATTTAAACAACTTTATTATGATTATCTTATTAAAATTGAATCAGATATATACGTTATTGATACTATACATTACACATCATTGTTTATTATTATGATTACATTATTATGATTAATATTATTACTAGTTTTACCTCAAGTTTTAATTTCATTATTATTTTTATTATTATTAAATAAGAGAATTTTTAGCTTGCCAGGGCAATTAATGATGAATTGAACCATTATTTTAAAGGATTAATTGGCGGCATTATCTTTATTTATGCCTTGTATGTTTTCTATTGTTTCATTATTATATATATATGTGTTTGTTGTATACATATCTACAATGATATACGTTATATACATATCTATTATATGTTTTTATGTGTGTGTGGCATACACACACAAACATACGCACAAACACACACACATATATATATATATATAGAGAGAGAGAGAGAGAGAGAGAAAGAGAGAGAGAGAGATACATGAAAGCTCAAAGCGTGTTTATGAGATTTCAACAATCAATTATTATTTGTATCGCCAGTTAATAATTTTGATGTAATAAATTTTTTTTCAATAAAACAACCGCGTCGTTTATCTTTTTCCTATTAATAATTATATAAATAATAATAATAAAATTATTATAATAATTATTATAACTCGCACTAATAA